CCAGGTTAGGAAATCGAGGCTCCACAACGTTGTTCTCGGTCCAGGGCCACATGGTGAATAAACGGGGGGGGGGGGGGGGCTGGATTTCAACCCCAGTCTGTCTGAACACCTAAATCAGAGCCCAAAGCTCTGAAAGCCATCTGCTAGTTGGTGTGGTAACGGTCAGTCTCTGTCTTGGTCTGTCCGGGCTGCAGTAACAAAATACTGTACGCTGTGTAGCTTATAAACCACAGAAACTTATTTGTCACAGTTCTGGAGGCCGGAAGTCCCAGATCAGGGGCCAGCATGGCTGGGTTCTTGGTGAGCGCCTCTTCCAGGTTGCACACTGCTGATTTCTCACTGCCCTCAGAGAGTACAAGGGTCGGGGACTCCCCGGGACTCTTGTGTAAAAGCACTCCTCCCTTTCGGGAAGACTGGACCCTCCGGAACTAATCACCTCCCAAAGGTCCCACCTCCAAATGCCATCACCTTGTGAGTTGGGGTTTCAGCCTGTGAGTGGGGGGTGGGGCGCAAACCTTCACACCATAGCGGTGGCCCGTGTCACAGCTGAGGCTCACGGGGTTTGGGTTGGTGCAGCTGGCCGCTAAGGCCTGCATTAGTCCGGTTGAAGGTCATGGTGGCTCAGACTAGGGCAGTAGCCTTAGAGGGGGCTCTGGCTCCAGGGTAGGGCTGACGGGGTTTTCTGACGATTTGGATGGGACCTTAGGAACAGCCTCCTTTATTTTTTTGAAGTTTATTTATTTATTTTTGAGAGAGAGAGGGAGAGAACATGTGTGCATGGAGTGGGGGGAGGTTTGGCAGAGAGAGAGAGGGAGAGAGAGAATCCCAAGCGGGCTCTGCGCTGCCATTGCAGAGCCTGACACGGGGCTCGAACTCACGAACCGGGAGATCGTGACCTGAGCTGAAATCAAGAGGCAGATGCTTAACCAACTGAGCCACCCAGGCGCCCCAGCAAGAGCGTTCTACGTCGACTCCTTTTTCCTCTTTTCTTCCCTACGTCTCTTTTTCTAAAATGCCCACGCAGCAATCTGACTGTCTGGGTGAAAAACCTCCAGTGACTGCTGGTCGCCTACAGAAGATTATGTCCGATTTCCCAGCGCGAGGAAATGGAGTACAAGGTAGTCACCTTCCCCGGGACATCCAGCCTCAACACAAGGTGCCCAGCCACCCAGAATCTCCTTGCTGCCGACGCTTCTCCACTTCTGCACATCCGTTCTCTCTGCCTGCAGTGACCTTTCTCGGCTTTCCCTACTCTGTGACCTTTCCCGCTGATCCTTCAGGAGGCAGAGAAAAGACCCCCTCAGGCTAGATGAGGTACTGCTCCGCTCCTGCATGCTGGGTTCCCTGTTCTCCTCCGGTCCAGGTCACCCAGCTCATAATTTTACCCTGCACCGCTTTCTTTTTGTTGTTTTCCTTTTCCTTGTGTGTTCGTTGTGTTTATCTCCTCATCACAACTTTTTATTTGCGTTGGCATTCTACCTGCTCATCAGGTGTTCACTTACCCCGTCTCAGAAAGCAATGCGTCTAATTCTTTCAGCTGGTTTTACGGTAACTGTCTTCCCCTTTCTAAAGAACTTGCTTCCCTGGCTCCTTGTTGCATTTTTGGCTTCAGGCATGGCATTGACTTCACCCTGCGGCCCCCCCGGCCCCCCGGGAGGGTTCAGCTCTCTTTTCTTCTGTTTCATATGTACACCCACCCCAGCCACCACCACCACCCCCCCGTGTGGCTATTGGGTAATTTTGTTTCAATCAGCGTTCAGTGTTCCCTTTGTCAGGATTCTGGAAGCACTTTTTCACCGTGAGTTGAGGATCAGCTGCAATTGTGATTACTTTCCTTTTTCTCACTGCATTTTGTTTTCGCTGAAATTAATAGTTACCCAGGTTTTTTTTCCATTTGCTTTGATTCTGCGTGCTCATTCATATAACACCGAACACCCCTCCTTTTATATACATTTCTTGTCGAGACACTTGAGGGCGTTAAGCATTTGATAGATTTTTATCTTCTTGCAAACACCGGGAAACTCCTCGGCTGCTCCCGTCTCAACCGGGTTGGCTCTCTGGACCACTGGGACTCATTTGGACCAAACCAGCAACAGCATTTCCTGGGAGCTTGTTAGAAATGCCAGTTCCTGGGCCCCATCCCAGACTCACTGATGAGAATCTCTGGAGGTGGGTAATCTCCACTTACATTTAAGGAGCCCTCCCAGGGACTGTTTTGTTTTTCAACATCAAGCAGCGGATACTCTAGGCTTTTGCTGTCACCAGTGGGACCTCTCCGGCCGTCACCCTGGAACGTCTTCACCTCCCTGGAGTTACATCCTCTTCCAGGGATCTCCTGCACTGTCTTCCTGGGCTAATCTCCTCATGTGGGTGGAGTATGAGCTCCTGGATCTTCCTGCGAGAGAGATAGAGGGAGGTGCTTTTGAGAACTTCTGTGTCTGGAAGTATCTGTGTCCTTCTGTCTTCACACTTAGCTTGGTGAGAGCAGTTAGGTTGTGGACGCCAGGCTGGGAATAACGCCCCCCTCCCCCGCCAACCCGGGAATCTTGAAGGCATTTTTTTCCCCATTGCCTTCCAACTGCCATTGTTGATGTGGAGACGTGGGATTTTGTTCTGATCGCTGATAACTTTGTTTCGTTCCCCTGTAGAATCTGGAAGTAAGTATCTTTGCTCCCAGCTTAGGCACCAGGATGGATGTTGTTGACAATCAATAGATTCCCCTCCCTCCTACTGTGTATTCAGGAGGCCTTATGATGTGGAAACTCACTCTTTGAGGATTCTTTTCCTTTTTTTTTTTTTTTTTTTTAATATATATATATATATACATATATACACACACACACACATATTTTATTGTCTTTCAGGAACTAGGCTCCTGGTTTGGTTGAATTGGACCTCCCATTGCCTTCCTTCTCTTCTGTTTTCCATCTCTGTCTTTTTACCCTGTTTTCTGGAAGGCTCTTCTCCACTTTATACTTGTATGGAGCTTTCCACATTTTTAATTTTCAAGAGTTCTTTTTTGTCCTCAGAATGCTCTGTGTTTACCCTGCCCTGTTCTTGTTTGGTGCAAGTAACATCTTCTCTTGGCTCCCTGAGGATATTATAGTTGCTTGATTCATTTGAAGTTTTCTTTTTGCCCACACAGCATCTATGTTTGGTTCACTTTTTCTTTTGGTTTGTTTGGGGTTTCTCTTTCATATTAAGAGTTTGTCCTCAAGTGGCTGGCGATCCTTGGCTTCCTGGTTATTTTGCACTGGGGAGCAAAATAATGATGCCCCTGTGTGGAGTGGGTAAGGTTTATCTCCTACAGTCGCTACCATAGGATGATCTGATTGGGTGCTTGCCTGTGGAACCCTTGTATTGGTCAGCCGTAACTGCCAAGCAAACAATCCCTAAGTCCTTGGCTTCATCATCTACACCTCTCTACCACACCCCACGCTGGTGCAGCCACAGGGCTTCTTTGGACGCGCTCCTGCCACCGGGCCTTTGCACTTGCGGTGTCCTCTCCTGGAAAGCTTTTCCTGAGCTATCTGAATAGCTGGCTCTCTCACTAAAAGCTTTTTCTCAAATGCCACCTTGCCCGAGAGGCCTTCCCCTCCTATTGCTCTCCATCCTCCTGTCCTACGTCATTTTTCTCTGTACCACTTACCACCCCTACTCTCTACGTATTTATTTATGTCGCTCTGTCACTGGAATGTAAACTCCACGAAGGCAGGGGCTTTGTTTACTTCCTTCATTACTCCATTCCCGGTGACTAGAATAAGCCTGATGCTTAGTGATGCTTCGTAGCAGTTGCCGACTAATTCAATGGCCAACGGGCGGTATTTCTTCAAGGCAAAGATTATATCCATGAGCAGCCCCAAGAGGGGCTTGATACGTGTCTCTGGCGTGATGGGATTTTCAATACGGTTGATAATCATGACCTACGAGATCACTGCAAAGCCAGAATTAGCAAAGACTCGGTCATTGCTCCCAGGGGAGACACAGGGCTGGGTTCCTGTAAGACTCCGGCCACAGCATCTTCATTAACCAGCCAACACGTAACTTTGTCTTATGTGTGTTTCTATTTAGCACATATTGTTGATGCATTAACATTGAACTCACGGCCAACAGCACTATCACTCATGCCTGAACGAAGCTTATCCAACACGTGCATTTTCTCCGTGAGGCACACGCCAGCTTTCTTGCCCGTAGGAACACCGGACCACACTCTAGCACTACGCTTAGGGGTTATTTTAAACAACTGCATTACCAACAGAAAGCACAGATATGTGAGAGGAGAATGGCATTAAGAACAAAAGGGGCCAGGGGCGCCTGGGTGGCGCAGTCGGTTAAGCGTCCGACTTCAGCCAGGTCACGATCTCGCGGTCCGGGAGTTCGAGCCCCGCGTCGGGCTCTGGGCTGATGGCTCAGAGCCTGGAGCCTGTTTCTGATTCTGTGTCTCCCTCTCTCTCTGCCCTTCCCCCATTCATGCTCTGTCTCTCTCTGTCCCAAAAATAAAATAAACGTTGAAAAAAAAAAAAAAAAA